AGAGAGAGAGAGATGACGCAGATGTATGTAGAATAAGAGGGAATATGTTTCTTTCTCTTTTCTCGCATCATTTTGCAAAACTGCCTGTTGACCGGACTCCGATTAGAAGGACTCTAGATTAAACTGCATTCGAGTGTAATTTTCGATACACGGTATCGGCTCACCTTTTTACGGTTTACTTTATCACACTTGTTGCGTCTCAATTTACTGGTCTCTGCAAGATTCGCTACCTCGCGATCTCACGTTTAGGAAGATAGTTGACGAGTAACCTCATCTAACGTGATAATTCTTTTCAGAGTGAAACATGCAATCTTCGTTGGCGGAACAGACGATTGACTGCATGGGAAGATGCGTGGATAATTTGACCATGGAAGAAAGAAATCTAATCACCGACAATATACATAAAACTTTAACTCACCCAAAAGGCAATGAACTATTTGCGAGCTGCCTGGCAATGTTTCCGGATAGTTTGGCTTGTTTGAATATGTATAATACCTGTACAAAATACCTCGCTGAAGAGCGGAATAGACCGTGAGTCTATCGCAATTTACACTAGCATGAATTTTACACTGAGCATTCATGTTGCAAAGTGATAGGTTCTGAATATTCTTGTAACGTTTGAGACTTGGGATTTTGAGGAAATATGTATAGAAATACTGATTAGTAAAAACAAATGTTATTACACATGTCCCGAAATTTGAGGATAATAAGATTGCGACACAAAAGTTTGTGAAAAATGAAGTAATCAAAATGCTTACCATTGTTTAAAATAAAGTGGCATTTTAAGTGCATAAATGTTTAAATTTAAAATATAATCGGTTATGTGCGTTAAAGAGTCAGCTGTCCGTGTGTCGTGCCTGCAATGCAATTAGCTATGTCGAACACTTCGCGAAAATTTATCTACTTAAAATATTGCATTATTTATTTTGAAAAATGGAATGCACTTTTATTACTTTCTTACGAACTTTTATGCTGCAGTTTTATTATTTTCAAATTTCGGAGCATATTTGTATGTATATATATCGATGTATAAAAAATAGTATAGCTAATATAGTATGAGAAAAATTTAAAAGAAGGAAATTTACAGGATTGATAAAACTTCATCGGAAGAATCACTGGAATTTCTCATTACCAAAGTGAAAATGGTGCGGGAGACTGCTGAAGATATGAATGATCTAGATTTCTGCCTTATGAAGCAATTTAAAGTGGCCTTAGAAACAAGAAGTCAAGAAACATTGCTCAACGTATTAGAAGCTATTATTAATTAAAGAGCAGTGTCAAGAGTGCTTACGAAAAATGCACGAACGTTTTAGAGATCATATTTTACGGTGTAAGAGTACTGCGACATAAAGCTAAAATCTTCAATACCATCGTACATTACGGAGACCTGTGATCTGTGCCTAAATTTATTTCATAGCCCGGGGGAAAAAAAGCCATAATTACTTCTCTAACTTATTTTCTTGCCTTTTAATTATGCTTTTCTACTGTTTTTTTTAACTCTCGCGCCTAACTTATTTAATTAACCGTCACTGGCGACAAAACGCTACTCAAATAATTAACATTTAATATTTATATTTTTACAATTAAAAATAACTTAGATTACTTTTATACATTTTTAAAAACTTTTGATCACACACAGTCGAGCAATTCCACGAGTTTACGTACTACCGCCTTTGTCATCTTAGAATCTAATATTATACGGACAAACTGATAATTAATTATATTAAACGCTAAACATAGCACTTTTAGTAATTCAGTGCCGATTATTTCTAAATACTGTAGGTGTTAGGGAAACATTATTAGATGACTTCTTACTGAATCAAACATCTGCAATGAGTAAAGAACTATTTCTTAGAGATTTTTTAATAATGTCATGTTTTATTAACCTAGGAAAACTAATTGTAAATTAGATAGACAACACGTTGTTAAGTATTAAGAAAAATACGAGTTACCACCGGATAAACCACCTGTACATATACGTATAATTCAGCAGAAATAGAATTATGAGATGGCAAATGCAAAAAGATGCGTCAGGTTTTGTTCTTATACATATACTAGCTGAAATGGATTAGTTATTCCATATGACATAACTCATTTGATATTATACATTTGCATATATCATATGCAATGCATACACCACATACATATATATGTATGTACTTTAATAAACAGATGCATAATTCATTAATCTACATATATTTATGTTTATATTATAATAAGATTTCAATCTATACATACACAGGGTGACATGTTCACGATGGTACCGGTACGTGTTAGTCCAAATAATTGTTGTAGTAATTATAGAAAAACGTTTACATCCAAATTATCGAACAAAAATTTATGTAATATGTGAGTTTAGACTCTTTTAATCTTCTTATCGTCCGAATAAAAACAGTTAACCGTTTCTGTACTATAAACGGTAGTTTGTTGGTCTTTCGCGGAGTATTTCTACATCGTATTCGTTCCTTAATCATAATACTTATCAATGTAGGAAGAAGCCTCCAATTATGACTGCAAACAATGATTTTGATGAAATGGATATCGAGTCATATATCATCTTACGGCATCCACCTGCAAGAATAACAGTTCAAGAAAACCAAACTATGGATCCACCTGCAAAAAGAGCTAAACTTCAATCGGGTGTTTCTGACGAGTAATTATTCACTTCGTATTTATTACACAGTGCATGTACATAAATTTTTCACGTAAATATTTCCTCTATTTTATTATACACAAATGTAATATATATATCATCGCATTCATCTATGTATTAAGTGTTCAATTAACTTCAGTGAATATTTCATTAACAATAACGTATATTAATCGAGTCGTTCTTCCTTTACTACATTTAAAAATATAATACAAAACATTGAACAAATAAAATTTATAAGACTCTGACGTGTAATCACAAATACGAAGTAATAAACTTCTAGGTTAATAAAATAAGATATTATAAAAAAGTCTGTAAGAAATAGTTCTTCACTCATTACAGATGTTTGATTCAGTAAGAAGTCATCTAATGTTTCCCTAACAACTACAGTAATTAGAAATAATCGGCACTGAATTACTAAAAGTGTTATGTTTAGCGTTTAATATAATTATCAGTTTGTCCGTATAATATCATATTAGATTCTAAGATGACAAAGGCGGTAATACGTAAACTCGTGGAATTGCTCGACTGTGTATGATCAAAAGGTTTTAAAAATGTATAAAAGTAATTTAAGTTATTTTTTATTTTATCCAATTTTATTTTCTTTATTTTTATTTTATATTTTTAATCATTTTACAAGTCTACAAATACATATATAGACAAATGTATCGGTTGCATGCCTACGCGTAACATATGATAATGGAGGTATAAATAAAAATAAATAATATCTAAATAAAATCACAGAAAACCACAAGGCATTAATAGATGTAACGAAACTTATTAAATAAAGAATTAATCATTCAATAAAATGACACAGTGTGTGCCCTCGTTTCAGTGATTTTACTTATATCGTATATTATTTTGAACTTACATTTCTAAATAACAGTTTCTTTAAAAAGAGCAAAATATATTTCTGTAAACATTGTAATAGCTCTTGAATTGTTTACTCATCATATGTCACTTGTCAAATGAATATAAACGTAACATTTAGATTAACAAATTTCCTAATATAAATTATTCGAAAAAGTACATTTATGGAAGCTCTAATATAATAGCTTATGTAATGTTTCAGAAGTCGCATAAGATGTTTATAGAATGAATAAAAGTTTAAGCGTTCCATAATGTTCTAGTGAAACATTGTTCATTGAAACATGTAGTACAATACATTGGCTAATAGTGATCCAATATTGGTTATACTGGAAATGCATTGGCTAATATTTCTCAATGCAAAGCAGATATTGATAACGTAATATAAATGTATTGTACTACTAAGAAATAGTTTTACGTACATGTACACATACAATAAAATAAATTTGACTCAACCCAAGCCTAATTCACGTCATATATACACGTTCAGACACACATAGCTGCGCGCAAGGGAAATAGAGGTTGAGTCCAATTTGTTTGAGTCCAGTGATTCTTCACCCATGTGGGTATTAAACACCTTTTGCAATGGCTTAGTCTTATTTTCACGGCAAAGCCGATTCATCAAGAAACTTTACTGCCAATACTTCAAACCCATAATTACGTACAGTATGATCAAAAATAGGAAATGTATATATGTTTCCCGATTTTACTTATTCATATTTCTTATTTATTGTAAACTTATATTTATATTTGATTATGATTTTAAGTGTACATGTGTCATATCTTTTAAGTTGTTTACTCATCATATTTTACTTTTCCATTAAATATCACTGCAATATCTAATTTAATAAATTTGTTAATACCAAATATTCTCAAAGTTACGTTTATGGAAGCGATACTATAATATCTTATATAATGTTACGCAATATTCGGTTGGTTTACAAATTGTCAATACAATAGATATTCAATAAATCAATTTATATAACCTACCTACCGTAAATTATTTTCATATTTACTATTTCTAATGCTTTGTTAAAAAATCGTCAAGTATTTCGTCAACTATTCTTAAAATATCATCATTCGATAAGTGTGCTGTAAGCACGTGTTGGGAAGCGTTGTGTACCGGTCTATCCCAGCATGGTTCTGCTGTAGGATAGGGTTGTAAAGCGCTGGGTACCAAACTATCCGAGTATGGTTCTGCTGTGTGACCGTGTTGCGAAGCGCTGCGTACAGGT